AAAAAAAAAAAAAAAAAAATGTAGTACTATTTTACAATCATTAAAATTTGGTATTGCATTATATATCAATTACTTGGTATCGGATTTGTACCACGACATTTTAATTAAACAAAAAAAGGGGCAATGCTATATGTACACCCCCTTTTAATAAATTACACAAAGAAAAGTGCTATATGTACACCCCTTTTTTACACACAAGGGGGTGTACATATAGACACCCCCAAAAAAACCATATTGACAATTAATACAATTTAAAAAAGTAAAATAAAGAGGCCTTAATCATGATCTTAAAAAATGAAAGCATTAAATTGATACTTCCAGCTGAATCGGTTGGACCGATATTTATTTATTAATATTTTTAAAAATATATACATTTTCTGTAATTAAATTATATTTAAAACTTTGTTAATTAAATATTAAGACATTTAACGTATTCAATATTAAAATTAACTAACAATAACTTATATATATCTCTTGTATTAAAGTATTTTTTATTTTTATCGTCAATATTTTCAAATATATCAAAAGATATTTAAAAAAATAACTAGACCGGTTTAAACTGATCCGACCAGACCAGCTTTGGACAGTTTTGACTGATTTTGACCAGTTCGTTCCAACGAACCAGACCGGTTAACTGACTGGTTTCCTGTCCAACAAGTTGAATTAGCCCAACTAGTTGGACTGGTCCAACTTGTTGGACCAACTGATTAGGTCAAATTTTCTAAATCATGGAGTTATTTCTTTTTATATATATATTTGATGTTAAAATTTATATATAAGATTATATTTGCTATGATGTCAATATGGTCTTATTACTGGGTAGACCGATATATAATACCACGGTCAAATAGTTTACCCGACATACTAAGTGATATTGTATTTAAAATTGTGTTATTTTTTTATGGGTGGCACCTAAATTTTTCTATCCATTTTCTTACCCTTTTGTTTTGGCTAATTGTACTTTCGCATATAGCTATTCACCGACCGGTATAACCGGCTGACTGAAATACCAAAACCGAAATAATCGAGCCGAACTTTTAGAAATCGAACAGACAAAACATTTGTCCCAGACCGTCAGACCGAACTAAAATTGAGTTAACCCAACTAACCAAAATAATGGAAAATAGCTACAATTTATAATATAAAAATTATATTTAGTATTTTAATATTTTTTATTCTTTTTGCTTAAACTACATATATATATATATATATATATATATATATATATATATATATAAATTAAAAAAAATATTATATATTTTTGAAGTAGTAAGGTCATTTCGGTTATTATGTTACTTTAAAATAATATCGAAAACGAATTCAAACAACATAAATTCAAAAGTAAAAACCCGATAATCGAATCGACATAAAAAATCTAATCGAAAATTTTATTTAGGTCGATTTCGGTTGATTTTTTCAGTTTTTATCGAACTTTGAACACTCCTGCTTCACCCGACTCTGCTTTAGAAAAATAGAATAACATAATGTTACCATCTCGTTACAGGATGGTTCTGTTGTCTTTTGTAGCAGTATATATACATGTAATCTAGTAATGTGTAGACAATATACGCTTAAAAGATACAACAAAAATATCCCGTAACGGGATGGTAGCATTCCCCATAACATAGTACACGATATCGGGATTTTGTAAATGTGTTCATTTTTGGCTCATTTTTTTAAAACTCATTGTGCAAAAAGAAGTTATGTCTACAAATATCCTCACAATATTTTTTTTAATACCCAATTTCTCAACTTACATTCAAACTAATCATGGACCCTAATTAGGGCGTGCTTGAATATGAATCCAATTGATTTTGGCTGGATTTGCTTACCTAAAATAAGTCATTATTTTGAATAAGATGATTTTAAATTTGTAATTAAATAATATTTTTTGTATAATTCAATTTGTTCGGTTATTTCGATTAAATATACAATGCATGGGCTCTTCATCTAGGGATTAAAAGAATAAACCAAAATAAAACTAGGATGATTTTATTTTTTTGTACGAAAATGATGTGTTGCTAGTGTCGTGATGTGTTAGAATATATTGTATATATGGATAGCATATATTAGTATGTTAGAATATATTGTATATATGGTTATAATATATTTTGTCTATATCTTGTAGGATTAGATTTAGGCT